ACACTCTTATTAATTTATTTATTTATTTGGCCAATTTCTTTATATTTTCGTCCTTGACTTTTCTATTGTGGGACATCTCACGGTCTATTACCGTGAGGACTTCTAAGACATTTTTCAGGGGACTAAAGGTTAACATGCAAAGACCCGTAAGTATAGTTGAAAGCTATGTCCCCAAGCAGGGTATATAAAAGGGAATGAGTAGAAAGGACTTTTTAGAGCGCTGGAAGGCTCGGGACATTGAAATTTTGCATTCTTTTTTTTTATGTGGCATTTTAAGTTCAATTGAGCACTTACTACTCATAAGACCAGTCATATGTCCCAAAGAATTAACTCATACCTGCTGTTATGCTCCAATGTTGACAATCTTCTCACTTTCTGTTTTGCACAAGTAGCTTCGGGAGGTGTGTTCGTGTGTGATTAACTTGCTAGATTTTTCAATAAAAAGAGCAAGCCAATTTCAAGGCACATGACTCATTTACCAGCTCAACTGTTTTGAAAAGATTCGGTTGCTTGGGATTGGATCGTTTTTTTTTTAATTATGCAATGAATGCAATGCAAAAATTTAGATGCAAACAAAATGCAAAGAAAATAATAAAAATTAGAATAGAAAGAAAATCTTTTTGGTTTTTGAAAAATTTTCCATGCAGAAAAAAAATGAAAAAGAAAATGAAATGAAAATTAATGCAATATGTACAAAACTACATGCAACCTACATGCAACGGTATTTATGCATGGATGGATGCCCCTCCCTAAGGTTAAAATATAGCATCGTCCTCGATGCTTGGAGAGAGGCATAGCCGGCCTATTGAGAGTCGGATGGTGGAGGATGGTAGCTGGGTTGGGAATGGGTCCAAAACAGTCACATATGCATACCAATTGAATTTTTAAGCAAAATAAGAACGACTTAAGATGTGGAAAGAATTTACCAAATCGTTCTTGGAGCCTTGCAATTATGGTGAGAACCTCCTCTTCATCCTCCCCAAGCTATCCGTGAAGTATTTTTGGAGCCGGAGATTCATTTTCTAGGCATAAAAAATAAGTTTAAAACCATTTGGGACATTAAAAAAAATTGAAATTTACCAAAGACTAAAAAGTTTTAAAAGAAAGGAAACAAATAACCCCGGGTTGTCTCCCGGTTAGCTGCCCTTGTTTTAAGTCGTTGGCTCGACTTGGCCCCTGAATGTGCTTTTTTCTAAGTAGGTGGGCCTTTACAACACATTAACCTTCTCGCCACTTCCTTCAATTGAAAACTTATCTTCTACCTGACTTTTTTTTTTTGAAAGCACCTGCTCACAAAATGCTTGGCATAAACAATTAGTAACACCGTATCCCCGGCAACGGCGCCAATTTGTTAGGGCGTGTCAAACCCAACAAATAAAGGGGTACAAATGACTCCTTAAACACTACTACTATGCACTAAAAACGTAGTACAAGGTAAGTAGGGTCGATCCATAGAGACACGGGACAAGTGTTTATACCTTTTTGCGTAAGGTACAAAAATGGTCACAGAATGGGGGGAATTTATAAGCAATGATTTAAACTATAGAATAAAGCAATAAGTAAATGATTGATTAAGTGAAATAAGTTCAAGATTTGTAAGTACTCCAACTCTATGCAAGACAAATTAGCAATGTGATTCCATGGATGACAAGATATTTGTTTAATTCTATCTAAGTTGGTACTTGAAAGTGTTAACAAGCTCTAACACTTCCCATTCACCATAATAATTAACCAAAACAAGCTCTTTGATTAATCCTAACCTTACCAATCTAATCTAAACAAACTCTTAGAATTAGGTTGAAAGATTGCATTAAACTTTATGTGAATGTTCCCAACAACACTTAATACTCCTCATAAGCTCGGGAGCATAAGAATGTGTGAATAAGATTTACACTAAATTCATTCAATAGAAATCAGTTTAGTGCTTGTTACCTAGTCCAATTTACAAAACAATTACGGATTTTGCAATTAGATAACTTGAATGATCTAACCCTAATTCAAATGGCCAATAAGAATCACAATTAGAATCAAACATTCGATTGAAAAAAAATCAAATTCACTAGATAGAAAATTGAAAGAAAACATCAAGTCATATGATTGAAATCACAACTAGAAGTCAAGACATAAAGTTGGAGAATCTAGGGTTCTAGCCAATCATGGCTAGAACAAGATCACAAATCTAGAAAATGAAATTAAAGTTCTTACAAAATGAAAATCAAATGTTCCCAAGTGTTAATCTACTTCCAAAAGCTCTGAAAATCGCCTTCTCTCTGCCCAAAAGTCGACCTCCTTCTAAAAAAACCGATTGTCTCCATTATATGAGAGTAAAACTACTTTAAAAACTGTCGAGACGTTTACACGGCCCGTGTAAATTAAAGAGTGCCATTTACACGACCGTGTAAACAAGAAAAGAAGAATGCTCAATCCTTCCAGGCCTTCGAAGTAGAATGCTCTTGCATATGCGTTTACACGGCCCGTGTAAAATATAAGCCATCATTTACACGGCCGTGTAAATGTCTGAAAGGCTCAAATCTTCATTTCTTCATTCTCTCTCTCTTCAATGCTCCAAAACTTCTGAAACTTTGTCTCCAACTCTTTTTAACTTCCTCCATCAAGATCCAACCTTCAAAAGTCCCTGAAATATCATAAAAGTGTGTGAATGGAATTGCATCATGAAAAATCCCGAAAAATATGCAAAATGCATGAGTTTAAACCTAAATGCAATGCACTTTTATGAACTAAAACTACAAAATGAATGCATGAATATGCATCTAACACAATTAAATTAAAATAAATGACATAAATTTAGGAGTTTTTTGATACCTTCAAAAGGTAAATTCGAATCTTCCTTCTTTATTCTATCCCAAATAAAATTACCTTTCTGCCCTTAAACCTTAAAATCATACTTAGCATTTAAAAAAAAATCCATCCAACAATATCAATAACCTTTAGTTATGATTTCAATTTAAAGTTAGAAATGTTGTAATTCAACCATCATATTAGGATATTAATTTACATTCAAACACTAAAAACATATCTCTTTATTCCTATTATACCCTTATACTCCATTTTCCATTCGGTAATACCATATATTTATGTTAACTGATTATTTGAGTTCTATATCAAGATTGTAATCCCTGTAATTCAGCCAACAATTTAAGATATTATATACAATCAAAAACAGTAACCAGGTTAAGGTAATCAAACAAACAGAAATAGCAGCAGCTCATGATTTGATCAATGTTTAAATTAAATTACTGATTTACCATTCTGATGAACATTGTACATACTAAATTAATGATTTACCCTTCAGATAAAAAATGGAAGTATCATGCTAAACGAATACACAAAAAAATTGATTACAATGAACAGGAAAACAGGTGGGGTGTATTTGTCATTCCATCAAAGTACTTTTCTAGATTGTGTTTTAACTTGTTTCCATCAAAGAACATTATTATTTTTTCTGGACTAAAGGTATGTAATATATTTTCCTATTTATTTGAAAAGTTTCAGAAAAGTAGTTAACCGATATCATGTAATTTGTGACAAAGAAAATCAAAATATATGAATACATATATTTGATACAGGAACAAAAAAATAATCGAAAAAAATATAAAAAAGCAAAAGAAGGTACTGACCTTCTAGTGCACAACAACGAAGGTTTGAAGCAGAGAATGATGATGAAAGTTATAAGCAATAAGAATGATGTTGTAGGAGAAGGTTTGAAGAAAAGCAACGACTGAAAATAAGTGTGAGCCGCGGATTCAGAGATGAATCATATATGTATGTGATAATTTAAATCTGATTTTTTGGTATTAATGGTTTCCTAATAAAAATGGATTTTATATTAATGGTTTACTAATATAAGCAAATTTATATTAATGGTTGATATTTAATGCTTTAATTGAAATGATTTTTTGTAATATGTTTTTAAAGTTGACCATTTTAAAACCTTGATAACCGAAAATTCAAGATTTAAAATATGGGAATCTTTTATTAGAATTAAATACAATCCATTTCAACGGATTTAAGTTAATTGTGTGGAAAACTCTTATTGGAATTAAATACATTCCATTTTGGGATGATGATGTCAGCAATCTAAGGGTGGAAAATATAGGATTGAAATACAATAAAGGGCCCAGATTGTTTAAGATGATATCATAAGATTTTTATTTTAATATATAATAAAGATAACATAATTATTAGTATGATTATTTAATGACTTTTTTAAAAAAGAAAAAACTAAACGGGTTTGAATTTTTGAAGCGAAAAGCTATAAATAAGGGAGTTAAATTATGGACAATATTAATTAGGGTTAATGATGACATAGATTGTCAAAAGATGACTTGAAGGAGATGCATGCTTCAGTTTGTAGAGATTTGTGTGAATCCAAAACAGAGGTGTGATAATTAAAGATGCAAGGAAGACACAATACGCAAATTCTAAGAATACATGAACAAAAAGGAATCACCTTATGGTGCTACATTATGTAATAAACACACAAAGCATCAATTGAAGCACAACAATTGACATGAGGACGAAGAGTATTAGAGAATTATGGTTTAATAGAGAAAATAAAGGAGAAAGATGGGGCGGCTATTCATGTTTTTTGGCCAGATTTATGGAGAAACTGATATCTTATATATATAAATAGAATGATATGTTTTAATCGATAACATAATTGTTGATTTTCAAGATTCTATAATTTAATATAGTTGTGTTCGAATTGTGAAATATATTTTAGAAAATATGGATAGATTCTATAATTAAAGATTTTATAATTAAATGTAATTGTGTTTGAAATGTAATTGCTAAATTTAAAGATTTTATAATTAAATGTTTGGATTATATTTTGGGAAGATGATGTCAGCAATTTAATCTAAGGGTGGAAATCATAGGATTAAAATACAATCAAGAGCGGTTAATAATATTTAGAGATATTTGTGACCAGCTCACCAGCAGCTCAATATCACGGATGACCAAACCCAGATCCTTCATCCATGTTAGCATCGCTTGTCTCCTCCCTCAAAGATTCAGCAAGTCAGAACAAGTTATCAAAAGCATTCAACATTTTCTCTCTCATCGTACAACAAACCCACAATGCCTCGTCGTCTGATTTCGTGTTGCAGTCATTGGTTTCTCTTTTTGCATGTTGTTCGCAAGTTAAAGCAATTTCACAAGGTAAACAACTACATGCGTATTTGGTTTCTTCGGGGTTTGAAAAATCCCGTGTTTTGGTTCCAAAGTTAGTCACATTCTATGTTGATTTTAATCTTTTCAATGATGCATATGTCGTTACCGAAAGTTCAAACATTATGCATCCGTTGTCTTGGAATGTAGTTATTTCTGGCTATGTTAGAGCTGGGCTTGGGAAGGAGGGTTTATCTGTGTATACAAAAATGATGGAGAAGGGAATTATCCCTGACAATTTTACATATCCGTCTGTTCTCAAGGCTTGTGGCGAGGAGTTTGATTTGGGTCTCGGTAGGGAGGTTCATGAGTCAATTATGAAGTCGGGATTGGAATGGAATTTGTTCGTGCACAATGCATTGGTGTTCATGTATGGAAAATGTGGAGACTTGAATGTTGCACGAATGCTGTTCGAAGAAATGCCTGTGAGAGATGAAATTTCTTGGAACTCCATAATTTCCGGGTACGCATCTCAGGGCATGTGGAGAGAAGCCTTTGAGCTTTTCAACGATATGCAGAACCAAAATGTAGAAGTGAATGTCATCATCTGGAATACCATTGCAGGAGGCTATTTGAAGACAGGAAACTATATCCAAGTACTAAAGTTACTTTCTCAATTAAGGACCTCTGGTAAATGGGATCCAGTGGCTGTGATCAATGGTTTAGGTGCATGTTCTCATATTGGAGAACTGAATCTAGGCAAGGAAATCCATAGTGTAGCAATTCGAACATGTTGTCATGACTATGATAATGTAAAAAATTCATTAATTACAATGTATTCCCGGTGTAAAGATCTTAAACATGCTCATATTGTATTCCATTTGGTTGAAAACAAGAGTGTAATCACTTGGAACTCCATAATATCAGGATTCTCACACTGGGACAATTCCGAGGAATCCTCATTTCTATTCCGGGAGATGCTTCTTTCCAGTGTTGATCCCAATTACGTGACAATAGCAAGCATACTTCCTCTTTGTGCACGCGTGGCAAATCTACAACATGGTAAAGAGTTCCATTGCTACATTACAAGGCATGAGGGATTCAAAGATTACTTATTACTATTCAATTCTCTAATCGACATGTATGCAAGATCTGGGAAAATCTTGCTTGCTAAAAGACTGTTTGATTCTTTAACCAAAAAGGATGAGGTGACATACACTTCACTTATAGCTGGTTATGGGATCCAAGGGGAGGGAAAAACGGCTGTTGATTTATTTGAAGAGATGATTAGGTGTAACATAAAGCCAGATCATGTGACCATGGTTGCTGTTCTTTCAGCTTGTAGTCATTCTGCTCTAGTTGACCAAGGTCAAACTTTATTCGAAAATATGTCTTCTGTTTATGGTATAGTGCCTCGTTTGGAGCATTTTTCTTGTATGGTTGATCTTTATGGGAGAGCTGGGTTATTGGGAAAAGCAGAAGAAACAATGAGAAAGATGCCTTATGAGGCAACACCTGCCATGTGGGCGACTGTGATTGGAGGATGTCGGATTCATGGAAAGAAAGAGTTAGGAGAAATGGCTGCTGAAAAACTGTTGGAATTGCGTCCAAGGAATTCGGGGTATTATGTATTGGTGGCAAACATGTATGCGGATTCTGGGAGTTGGGAGAAATTAGGTAAAGTTAGAGTTTTGATGAGGGAATTGGGTGTTAGTAAGGTTCCTGGTTGTGCTTGGTTGGATGTAGGAGGGAGGTTTATGCGGTTTTTGGTGGCTGATACTAAGAATGTTAAGGCATTTGAGATATATCCTTTGTTGGATGGATTGAGTCAACAATTGAAAGAAGCTGGTTATGTCTTGTCTCATGATAAAGATGAAGTTATGGAGTTGTAGAATGATGATGGTGAATGAAAGGGAGGACACATGATGCAACCGACTGGACAAACTTTTTAGGGCTATTTTTTATGAAGAGGATGAGGAGGGCATTTTTGTCATTTGTACATAAGAGAGATTGAAAGAAAATCTGTCGTCCCATTGACATTAATCCCAGAGTACCTGTTTCATGTGCTACTTATTCTTGTTAGAATTTAAAACTTATTGCTTTGTTTTGTAAAATTACAGCAGTTAAAATGTTTTTGGGATACCCATTCTACTATTGGCATCAATATGTAGTAATGTGATAATATTATGACTTGGGTTGACTATTAGACTACCATATTCTACATGGCGGTTCTTCTTAATCGGGTGGACCATCGAGCCAAACTTCTTATTCTATCATAAATTCGACTCTACGATACGCCAAACATGTTGGAAAAACTTTTAATATTTATTTATACCGGTCTGACTTGACAACATTGTTTTCAAAATATCACAAGCGACTCACCATCAAGTATTAGACCAAACAACACCAGCACTAATGTTATAGTCATTCAAAGCCCCATAACATAATTACATCTCTCAAATGCCCAAGTAATTATCGCACATGTAACAAAGAATCCAAGAAAATAACAGAAGTTAATATTAATGTTTTTTCCCATATGTATATGAACTTGTTTCCGAAGAAATATTAGTGTTTTTGGTCTTATATATGTTAACTTGTTTTTCTTTTACATTGAGAAATTTATGATATCACCAAATATTTTGTTCCACGCAAGCATTTTGCATTCGTTCCAAGTTAGAAAAAGTTATACCCATGAATCAACGGGCTTATATTCGTAGACTAGGTAGGGTTTTTTTTTTAAATACCAAAAAATAGTGTTCATCATGAAACTTGAGCTCATCGTTGAGTGTGGCATCGATCATAGAGGATTTCATTAGGCTTATATCGATCATAGAGAAATTAAGGGAATGAACATAGAAGACAAACATCTGCAATTGTAAGGAAAATGGAGACGATTACAGTCGAAGTTATGAGGAGGAGAGATCGTCCGTAGAGAAAGTGGAAACACAGTGTGAGATTGGACTTGAAGGGGTTAACTACTACTAATGATTAGCTCTTACTAGAGGACATGACCTTATATAGGAAACAATGGAGGCTTATAAGTGGGTGCCTAAGTAGTAAGTAATAGTGACTAGGGGTGGAGCCAAGATTTTAGGATAAATGGGCTTATATATATTAAAAAAATATTGGAATGACATAGTCGACAAATAGGAACTACATCTCTTTTTGCAAGAACCAAGCTTCAAAACTTTTCAAACGACCATAAGAATCGATTCTCATATATTAATATCTTCTTTTCGTTTATATATATATATATATATATATATATATATATATATATATATATATATATATATATATATATATATATATATGTGGGAAAAGCGAATATACATTACAGCCTCACCTAAGCTTAGATACTAAACCTCATTAAAATACGTCATTTTACTATATAAAGATTGCAGTTAGGGGACTTACGATTAACACTTGAAGATGTAGATTCAAGACCGACACAATAGTTTTGATAAGGAAGCAAGAATATTGATTATCTTCGACCTTCGTGACAGTGAAAAAAAGTAATGTTACTAGGGTGAATTAATAAATATTAACATATATATATATATATATATATATATATATATATATATATATATATATATATATATATATTATTGTTCCGATTTACCTTATTATTATAAGAAATAAGAATTAAGAAACAAATTAACCAATCATAATACAATCATTAATTACAAATTATATTGTTCAAAAAAAATATTAACCATAAATTTAAAAAAAAAATAACGTAAATATTAACTAATAAGAATTAGAAATTACCTCTTCTTCAAATTGAAGTTTGTAAAAGAGTGACGTGAATGTAATTTGCAGTAGTTTCTTTGTCAATTGCTGAAGATTTGTAATTGGGTAATTCTAAATGCACGATAAAAGTTCTAAATACACGAAACTTTAAAAATTTGTTTATTTTTTTATATTTTATGGAATTAAAGTTTATAAAAGTGGAGTAACGTCAATCACTGTATCAATCATTATGAGTGAATATTAGTTTTAATTTAAATTTTCATTTCTTCTCCTTCTACTTCTACAAAACTTTCAAAATTTGCCCTATACGCTTTCAATATCCATAATAATAATATTAATAATATATTAAATTACGATTGTTAAAAAGATGACGTCAAGGATATTAACATCCTACAAATATTTGTTTATTTTTTTATTTTTTATGGAATTAAAGTTATTTAATAATTAAAGTTACTAATTTAAGTTTATTTTTTTATTTATTTTACTATTTAATGGTTTTAGTCTTGAACTTCTACTCTTTTTTTTTAATTTCACACACACACACACACATATATATATATATATATATATATATATATATATATATGGTTAGGTTATTTTGTTTTTACTAACTATTGTGTGTCAGAATGTACAGATCTGGACCACCAGATGGAATTAAATCAAAGGTCATGATCTGAGGGTCTATGATATTACAATAGGGTAACATGTACCATATAATCACACAAATTTCAGCATAAAGGCATTTTAGTCAATTGAGACAAATTTAAAAAAGGAAAAATTGAGATTTATGGGATAATTAATGATTTTGATTTAAAAAATCTGGTTTTTTTCAAATTAATTCAATTTCAAACGTAATTTGTAAGCATAAACCGATCTTATTCTATCAGAATGTCATTTTGTTAGAATGATGTTCTGTAATTCTGTCAGAATGGTATACAACTATGCACATAATATTATAAACACATATTATCAAGACTAATAATTTTCAATGAATACAAATTTTATATAAGACGAAGTTTAATAGTTTAGAATCAGTAATTACATTCATTTTTAAAGAATACAACTATGAACATAAATTACATTCATTATTGAAATCTCTTGCAAAAAAAATATC